GAACGTAGCAACATGTAAGGAAATTATAGAACCCGGGAATTTCAGGCTCTTCTAAACGGAGTCCACGTGACCGGCGTGACCACAAACACGTGGATAGACTAGCGTGCTTCAGGAACGTTTGCTCGGTCCGTGACCGCTTTCTGCAACCCGGCAATCCTTTTACCGGTCTCGTGTAGCTCGGAACATATTTGCACGCTTCTCGTTAAGAGTGCGTGCACAGTATTGCATCGAATGCATAGGATGGCCCATGAATCAGTTGTTATGGTATTTCATTATTTCCGCTGCATGTTCCCGTTTCATAGAATTCTTCTCCATATTAAACGCGGAAAATTTAGCACTCGCGCCACCCTTAAATCTTGACCGAGACACAAGGCTCGCTTGATTATTTCTTATTATTATTTCTTTATTTTCAGAAAGCATTTTTCCCGCACGGCGGTGTTCGCGAACGTTTTCCCGTCATTTTGTCTCATGCCTCGTGCAATAAATTGATAGGACATTTCGAAATCGAAGTGTTTTCCCCCGCCACAAAGGTAGACTCTCCTATTTCTCCAGCCAATCGATTCATTAACACGTCTCGCGCATTCGTCCATCGTAAGCTTTACAAATAATTTTTATCGTTTCAGCGGCGGTTTTCTGCCGATAAATTGGATAATTGGATAAAAACGACCACCTAGGGGAACTTCTCCTAGTACCGGATACATACATACAAGGTTCTTTTCAAACAATATAAAATTATACGTGCTTCCATCATCATTTCATTCATCGACGAATTCGCATTGCCGTTAAAGACTTTTGAGTATCGTACGAAAAGCAACGAAGCGATCGTAAGAGACGCATCCACCGAAGACAAACCCCGTTCGAAGATGTTCAAAATTCTTTTTCCCGGAGATGCTATCTAACAACTGCGTATCCTGGCTGGTGCGGAAGGAGACAAATGCGTTGCATCGCCTAAGACTTTCAGGCCCGATAACTATGGGCCCGGTTGATCGAGCTTCCGCTGTATCGAGTGCGATAGAAAATTGATCACCAGGAGTAGTACGCGTTGAATCGGGCGAGAAGGACGGCGAGTGGTTCGCAGGACGTCTCGTGTACCCAGCACGTGCATGGCCCAGTCGTCGAGAACCGCCGCGGGCCCGCCGCGGTCCCAATCCTATCAATGCTGCCGTGTTGCACAACGATTACATGCCTTTCCAGTCGTCCTTTCGCTTTTTCTCTGCACCTCCTTCGCGAAGGCCGTAGCAGCCTACGGTCCCGGCGCGGTGGTAGCATGCTCTCGCCATAGTACTCTCTCTTTCCTAAACACCGTTTGCACCGGTATCCCCCGTTCCCTACGCGTGCTCGGCCATCGGGGAGAGGCCAGTCGCGCGGAGCCCACCGAGGCTGCCTGCTGTACTCGTTGGCGACACCCTGGACACGAATTGTCCAAGGTTCGCGATAGTCGACGCGGTAATTTCGCGGCTTCCGTGGGGCTCGCCGCGGTGGACTGCATTTCGTGCACCCGCTCCGCGAACCGAGCTACGGTTTTCTGTTAGGCCCGGGACCCAAAGAACTCGCGATGTGGCTCGACTGTGTAGACGTAGAGGGACGACAGGTGACAGCTACTTGTGATACCGACGATTATGTCGGAACCCGGTGGGGGATGAATGAACTCTCTCGGTTGAATAATTCATCGAGAGCTGCTTCTCGTTCTGGTTCAGTGGTTGAAACTTCTCGGCTAGCCGGTTTATACGAACTTATCGGGTTTCCTCGGAAAGTAATTTCGTTTTTCACAGAACAATTTGGACAAGATTTATAGACAACGAACGAATGTTGAACGATCGCCTTTTATTTTCCGTCGAGCAAAACGAAATTACTTTCTTCTTCGGCACTGGCCGTTCCGTCGATCTTTTCTTCGTAACAAAAATGAATGTCCAAAGTACAAAGTGCATGGCAAAACGGAACGACGAAGTCGGCTTGAAATGTTTTCTTAACGAGACCGAAATCAATCGAATGCGAGGATATCAAGTTCAGCGGCGGCGAAAACGATACACGTGGCAAGCAACGTGTTATCTTGCTTACATATACTTATACAGACACGTCCACTTAACTCCCGGGACACGCGTTACCGAGAAGAAACTCGGCTAGCAATGCTGTAACGTTACGAACACTGTTGCACCCGTGTCACGTTTGCCGTATCGGTCACGTTTTGCCTAGTCCCAGAGAAATGAATGAGGTCCATCGATGAATTTTTCGCGAAATATGTTTGTTTAATACTCGCCCAAGTCTCTTCGCCGTTAGAAAGCAATACATGTTAGTTACTTTCAGAGTTCGATAGTTTTTAGATAGTTAAAGATGATCACATTAGAGGTGGCAAATACTCTGTCCGCCGGTATTTTTGAAAGCGATAATGCCGATGGTCCGACGGAGTAAGATTGCAATAAAATAGCGGAAACGCTGTCGCGAATGTATCAAAGTAAAAAACACAATTTCATATTCACGATCAAATTATACTACGAGCAATATTTAAGAGGCTGCGGCAAATTATGGTTTCAGTGTCTGCAAGTCATTCTTAACGATAATTAGTCGGATTGAAATTTTTAGCTCGGTATTCCGAGATGCTATACATATTTACACGTGACTTGCATTCGATGTTAGATGCTGGCACTAATGAGTACGACGAAGCCCGGTTTTTTGGAGATCGACAATGATAAATTCAAGACCATCATGAAAATATCGAGCGAAGATGGGATCGAGCAGAGAAAGGATCGGTCCGGGAAAGACGAGGATGCCTCTAAAACGCTGCAACTTCTTCGAATAAAAGGATATCCGCGATTGTTGCCCGAAGGTACCGTCTTTTGCAGTATAATAATTGCTTTCTGATATCGATTGCATTGTGATTGTGACAATGAAATAATGTTACATGTATTTATGAAAATGTAAGGGTTCGTTACGTAAATTAATCAGACATTTGCGTTATAGGGATCCAGGCGTTGGTTAATTATTGCCGGTACTTGCGAGAATTGTGTCTCTCCTATTCGTTGCTCAGCGACGAATTGTTACTAGCCCTAAGCTCTGAGAAACATATGCAATTGGAGACTTTGCGATTGGAGGTGCATCAGGAAATAAAACCACTTCCACGAGTCAGCGATACTGCTTGGTGTACATTTTCGAGTCAACTGCCGAACATTAACCTAGTGCTGTGAGTGCACTTTTTTCTCTAAAGGATGGTATTTGAGTAAACGTTTAGACTCTAAATCGAACCACCTAACTTTAGAAATTTCTTTTCTAAATAATAGACTGCGTAGTAACGTCTACTATGGATAGTACATTTTTTACCAAGTCCTAGTTGCTATATTGTAGAGATTAAGGTATTGACCTATAGGATACTAATATTCTTTTTAAACTATGATTAGCCAAATCTCAGTTTTTATTGTTTCTCTTACAATCCTCCTAGGATTTTTCTTACAAGCTCCTAGACATAGTATACAAATTCTATACGAGTACTATACAAATCGGCAGTGTACAAGCATTGTTTTTGCTACTTTTATTATATTTGAACGGTATGTTGCTATTCGCACCGAAGTGCTAAAAAGTGTACGTTACATTAGTCGTAATGCGCTCATCAGAAACAGTTACAGATAAGATTAACGGACGATGGACGTCAATTCATTTTCGCTGTACATTACAGTTAAAGAAATTCTCTCTGTTTTACTCGTAATTTCACCCGCTAGACGATACTGTACAATATTTATTACGACGAGTTAGAAGTAATTTTTGTACCAGTATATCGATTGAATTTATCAATATTATTATCAGTAATTGTATCTATGTAATTATTTATCAGTAATTGTATTTTAATCAATTATTCTATTCGTTATCGTTTACAATGTAATCTGATACCATTTATCGGGAATGACTCGTCGATTACGATTTTTACAATTTGTTCCCGGAAACGGAAATTATTTATTAGTCGATCTAACAGTAGCAGCAAATGGGCGGATATTCATCCGAGACAAATATGGGATTCGAAAGAATTTAATCGTACTCTCGGGCATTGTCTTGTATTTATAAGAAACCATAATGATATAGCATCTTCTTTTCTTAAAACAATTTTAGATCGTCGTACATGACGGACGACGACGATCAGAATGTGCTTCTTGCTCCCTACGTTCCTATAACACACTTGTACTTTGGGGAGGCACCGTCTGAAGCAACATTGTTACGCATTGGTTGCGTATATCCTCGATTGGTCGAGTTAGTTATTGCTGCTTACGGACCGGACACACTTGACCGAGCACTGCTCTCTATCGCTGAAGGATGTCCATGCCTAAGCGCTGTCGGTTTGGGCGATTGTGAAATCACGTATGTACATTGCATGACAGCTCCCACTTAATAGCTCCGTGGAGCTTCATCGGATGATCTCATAAACATGAATCGATAAAACGTTACGACAAAGAAATTATATTTCTATTAATATATTCTGAAGATTACTTGAAGTCTTTTTGATGGGTGTTAATTCTATCCCGAAGTTAGGGTGGATAGCTATTATGATTATTTCTATTATAATTATTTTTCTTCTTTCGAAAAACAAATTATAGTAATGTTTCTGCATTAGTAATTTATATTACATTGTTTCAATCTTTAAAGATTATTGTTCCATATTATGTGAAACAATTGAAAATACATGAAGTATTGATAATTTTTGTTTCCATTGGCCACAGTTGCTCAGGTTTGTTGGAATTCGTCACAGTCTGCGCAAAACGACTACGAATACTGTACGTCTGGGAAACGTCGCTAGTAGAAGACTCCGAACTGGACGTGACGGAATTATCGAAAAAGATTTCGCAGCTCCTTGGTCGAACATGGGTACCTGAATACATACCATTGTGCTGAAAGTTTTTAGTGGTAATTAGATGAATTTTTACGACACGCTGATGGCAGACAATAGTGTTGCGCATTTATCAGAAATGTGCGTAAGTGATAATTAGATTGTACGGTCCTTCATCTTCCATTTTTTGTACACGAATCAATTGCACAGAGGGCAGAAAAATATGATTTTGAATCGCCACATAAGAATTGTATATGTGTTGCACGTTTCATAATGTTAATATTTATTTTTTAAAAAAACCCGTTGTTCAAAATCATCGTCATTGAACCCCGAAATTGTAGTGTACGATCGTTTTAAGGTAAAAGTATTTCATATTCCGATTACAAACTACAGTTTATAATCGGATCGATCATTTTTTTATGGTAAACAAGCACACGAAAATGTAACCATATTTTTGTTATTGTCATCATTAATTTATATTATTATGTTAAATATCCGAATTAGTGTGAAATATATTATCAGTTTTACATGACTCGATGAAAAAGAACGAAAAAAGCCACTTATTGTAAAAATTGCTCGTATCTGTTAATACCAAAAAATATAAACTTTATTAGATTATAATGGTACCTTTTTGCGAGTGGTGTATATAAAATAAAATGATACCACTACTTATTTATCAATCGTCGCTCTCTCTCTCTCTCTCTCTCTCTCTCTCTCTCTCTC